TCTGGTTCATTACTCCATTAATTGGATTCGTGGGTTCATTTGGATGTTGGAATGTGGTCTTAATTCCATTCTGTAGACTGCTCAATGACAGCATCGGTGCGTCGTTAGCAGCGGATTGGGCTGCTTTGGCAATGGTTGATAATGCTATTTGAGGTCCTGATTTACCACCAGTTTTTGTTTTCGATGCTTTTCGTTTTGCTGCAAGTGCCATTAATCTCTTGATTCTTTGAAGTCTCCTGATTTGCTTTGATCTGTTACCTTTACTCTTATACGACTTAACATATTTTCCTTTGCGACCCATCTTTCGGTGCTTGATATGCATCAAAGCATCATACGTCTGCATCAAAGCCTTGGTGTCATATTTAAGGTGTTTGCCTCTGCGCTGCTTCGCCTGTAAATGTCTTCTATTGGCGTTTTTCTTGTAAATGTCCAAGAGTGCGACGAGTCTGTCGTTGTAGAGATGTTTTCCGGGCTGACCTGGAGCTTGTGTATTGAATATATTCATGTGGTCGTCAGCATCGTCTTCCGCTTCTTCTCCATCAAAAGATGGTTGCTGTGTGTATCCATGGAAACCATTCGAAAAATGTTTCAGATTTTCCAATGTCTTAAGATAATTCTGGTGTTTTGGTATCTTGAAAGGAATATGTTTGGAAGCAGTCGTTTCTCCAAAATCATCCAAGACTTCTCCAGAATATCCAGAATTAGTTGGATTACCAGCTACATTGGACTCCTCGAAATCATCATATTTGTCATCAGCTGTAGCAAGAACCTCTTCCAGTTCCTGAAGATCATTGTCGTCCAGTTGTTCAAGATCGGACTCGCTTAACTCTTCCAGACCGTAGTTTGCTTCTTCTGGTTCTGGGACTTGATCCATTGCTGTGTAGTCATCGCTTGGATGATCATCGTAGGCTTCGAAACCATTTTGACCATTAGCTCCTCCATAGTCGTCATAGACGTCGTCGTACATCACTGGTGATGACAAGTTGTGCTTGTAGGCGTCATCAGGGATGGTTAATGCGTCAGTGAAATTTGGTTTAGACTGTGGAACTGTCGGTGGTAAGGCATCGGATGGAAAGTGCTGTACTAGGGGCTCAGTCGCAAATGTTCCCGAATTCAATAAATCAATGACAGGCTCTTGAGGAGTGTTTGTGGAGCTTGCCACGTCGGACGGGTGGTATTGTACATCTGAAGACAACTGATAGATATGGTCATCCTTAGCGAGTGGAGGCTCTGGTTGGGTGTAGGTCTCTAGATGAGGAATTGGGGTGTCTATCTGTGCTGAAGGATGATGCTGTAAAGCATTCACATCCTGTAGTAGCGACGTCTCTTGGGTAGTGGGAATGAGTGACAAGGAATCGGCTAATATTCCTTCATCTGAGAAATAAACATCTGATGTTTGAGTTTCTACAATGGATGGCGTTGTGGCAGCTGCATCTCCGACAATATTTTGACTACCAGTTTCCGTAACAACAACAGAGTTGGTCGTAACGTCAACGTTTGCGGCTGTATTATATACCTCTGTCGTTGGACCAAGGTCGTTAGCGTCGGTAGACGTAGGAACTTGTGAAGATTCATTACTTGTGATGCTCTTGGACGAGGTTAAATTAATCAACAAAAAGCCTGGAAGAGAAGTAAATTGAAAGATATAACATCATTTACACCAAACGATTAAATTTCCTATCTATGAAGCCACGGTCAGTACTTTCGGAAGTAACCATTTCTTACAATCAAGCTACCATCAACTGCCGTAAGATCTGAACAGGATCATGTCTCGCATTTCAAAATATGTCAAAAATTAGATTTTCCCTGGTTTACTCTAACCGTCGCTTAGAACAAAGTTGATTGCTTTGAAAGATATCACTAAAAAGGACAATGATCCGATGATCCGATGATCCAATGATCCGATGATCCGAAGCAACAGCAGAGGCAAGATACAAGTACATGTAGTGGCTGTTTTATCCTCTTCTAAGTATTAGCTCAGCAGCAAATGCGTAGTGACAACACATAAGTGTTTCCTAACCAGCATGAAGTAGCTGACATTAACGGTGGGACGTAAAAACACAAAAGGTACTTACAGCATATCAATATTGGCCTGATGTGTCCTTCCAGTAAACATTTTAAAATCATAACGTAGGTTAACAACTACAAAATTTTCAACCTTTTCCTCTGGTCGTTGTGATTAGTGTATGGACACAGATCGGCCGAGAGCCTTAAAACTCCGTCAGAAACCTAATTTACTTTCGTAAAGGGATAACGGCTGACATCATTGGCCTTTGTAATGGCTGTCATTGGGCGATCATTGTCCCTCGTCCATCATCACCCATCATCACCCATCATCCCGGGCTAGATGACCTGACATAGAGCTTCACATTGAAATCAATTTAAAGGGATTGTAAAGAGATTTTCTATCTTTTTCATGTGCATCTGGACCTTTAATGGCTTCTGCATCTGGACCATTAATGGCTTCTATTTACACCTTTCCAATTTCCCGTTAGATGTATGTGGTTCCTGTAACTATAGAAATGCTTAACTGTACATAAATATGACTTCACTACATGTATTGCAAACGCTGCGTGTAAATCATTAGTAGTTTTTGCAAAAAAAACCTCGTAAAGCTGGTTTGAGTGAAGTAGCAAAAGACACAGACTTCAGGCTTAATTTTCAAACGGTGCAAATCCATGCTTAGTGTCCGCGATAAAGTTAAAAAAAAAACACTTTACATTCCCTTTAATATTATAACAAGGGTTCAGACTAGTTGTACATACTTGTAAGTGCGTCATCTCGTTTGTCTTTGACATCTGCCAATGTACCTGTGCACATTCTTCTATAACACATAGACAATCGTCAGTCTGGGAAGATTGTGGCGGTAATGCAGCTGTGAAAGGAGAAGATATACTCTTCAAGAAATACTTTAATATTTTTTCTAGCTTTTGAACATGATATTTTTGCTTTCTCTTTTGTAAAATGAATCACACTTTTATCGCAATTAATCGTATGGTCGGATGAGTATCGTTTAGTGCATCAAATCGCAAGAATCGTTGCAGCCCCACGATAATCATGAACATTAAATTATGTCGTGAAGTTCAGCGACATAATTTGATAATCATGACTATTTTTTAGGAAAATAATTTCCACCAAAATATATTATTATCATTATCATAAGATTAATCATTATTTATGGGGTTTTTTATTTCGAAATTAAGCGCAATAATACAAAAAAAACCACTTCAGCACAATTTGTAGTCATTGTAGCCATGATATATCGCATAAAAAAGTTTAAAAAATTCTAAATTTGGATTAAAATTTACCACAAAACGCATTAAAATCGTCAATCTATCATTACTTTTTGTATCATTAAAAAACATATTGAAGTGTTTTGTTTTCTAAATTTGTTTTTTTATGGGGAATAAAATTGGTTCTTCTTTTGTTCGTTGTATTAATGTTTGATTCAAGGTCGTCATATTTTGTTATTGACACAGTTTTTTTAAATGTAATGAAACTGAAACGTATGCTCAAAGTTAGCAAGCCAACTCTGACTCTGTTGATTGTAATTTTAGCAAAATGCCATCTTAGGACAATCAATCTTAATTCATCTTTAGACTAGGGACCAGTAACGGATTTTGGACTTGTTGGGCCTCAGGCAAACGAACGGTAGATGGTTTAATTTCTCATTTTAGGGAGGGGGCATGATGTGATTACAATTTTATGGCAGGAAGGAACAGATCAATCAGCTCATCAGCATCAATCGGCATTCATTACCATTAGACGCAACAATTTAGTCGATTCTCACACATCACGCTCCTAGTAGGACAATTTTCGATGGGCCTGAGGATATTTATTAAGTGTTTGATAATATTTACTGTTACAAAATTTGTCATGGGCCGAATTTTCGATGGGCCGAAAGGCAGCTGCCTAGTTTGCCTATAGGTTAATCCGCGTCTACTAGGGACTGCTGAGCGAGTTACCTAGAGGTACGGGTACAGAAAATTTCTTGGCAGCTCAGGTACACAGGTTAAATCGGCTGAAACACTGTAACTCCGTGCGCTTTCGACTGTGCTCAATTCCTATTTTATAAATATTTTATTGTAAAATATTACAAAGGGATTAGAACAATTTACAAAAATCATGAACCTTCTCCTCAATTCCTTATGTCAACGTCTTGTCTTTGTCTCGCTTAGGAGAGGCACCTCATATCCTCGCCCCACCCAGTGGCGGAGCCAGGATTACCTCCGATGCATTTACATACGCCCCTGTTTTTTTTATTAGCTTTATAAATTAAATGTTTATGTTTCGTAACATCTATTGTTTATTGTTTTAAAGTAATTTTACAAATTTCTAAATTAAAAATAGAATTTTAATCAAAAGAATCAAAAGTACAATGTGTGTAAGCCTACTTTCCTACCCAATCAAATCAATCAACTTTATTCATCGATCTTTCATTGGTAAAATCGTTAACTAAACGTCAACAGATGGTAATTTTTAAATACTTTTGTCATTTCCGTAAATGATACATGTATATAAAGCATACTTCCTTCCCAACGTGTACGTTATAAATGTTACCAAAAATAGAAAGCTATTTGACGTCTGTTTGATGCAATTTCGGCGCCAAATCTTGTCACATTTGCGTAATATCTTTTACTACCAATATAAGTCCTAAAAATGCAACATTCAGATCCATCGTTCCACTAAACTACTCCGACATCGTTGCGATACCACGCAGCGTAACCGTACACGTTGTGTTCTTGACGTCCGAGATATTTTTTATGATTGGTATTTATTCATATTGATTGATGAGAAAAAGGTGGGTAGAAGGATTGTTTTAAGATATAAGAATGATAAGATGTTATATATCTATTGAATATATTATTATCAATTATTAGTTCGATCAGTTCTTATTGAAAAGTTGGCAGTGGATTAGACGCTATTACGATTTTTACACGATGGAGATCAAATTTTTAGTTTTACTCTTTTTATCTTGTAAGTTTACATTTTTTGTGGTTTTAGAGAATTCAGATAATGTGTATTGCTGAAAATGGTACTCTTTTGGAACATATGTATTTTTGAATTTAATCCTAAAAGGAAACGTTTAGAACGGACAAAGAATTGAGTCCGTCATTCCTTTTAGCTTTTCAAAAATGTTGAAATCGTGTTTGCAAATACCTTACTTTTCGGGGAAGGGAGGGTTTGATTCTCCCAAATTCACAGACTTAGGATAGATCAATTACTTCATTAATAAGAATGAAATAAGCTGTCTGGAACTGCTTGGTAATTTTCGTCTGCTTTGATCTGAAATAAGACAGATTTGTATATGAAACAGGAGTTGCCTCCCTTATACTATTTTACTTTCCACTATTAACCATTCAGTAGACAAAAAAAGTGGGTGCCAATTACAATTTCTGTTACCATAATATGAACCAATAAGAATTACAGTTCATCTAAGATAACTCGGGGTTATGGTTTTCGTGCCAACAACCCCATGAAATTGAAGGTGTCTTTTCTTTCAGATATTTCCACCACCAAATCCTCAGAAGATAATGAAATCCCAGCATCAGTTCGGCGAGCCCTGATCCTCGACATTCTCTACAACTTAAACATACTCCATGATGCCCCTGTCAGAAAGACTCAGTTTGTTGGCCGGAAGTTGAATGAAGCCAGAACAGATTTGGCCATACAACGTGCTATTTTAGATCAATCAAAACCAGGTAAGTGTATCGCACTTCTGTAATCATTGCGTTACCAATGCCTGATAGGGAGACGCAGTGCTCAATGATCCATCTCGGAGAGGCAGTCATTGTTCTTGAAAATTTCCCACATTGCACACGCTACGGCGTTGCCCATTTTCACATATAATCATTGAAATTCTTTGATAAAGATATACGTAGAAGATTGGTGTCTTCAGTGGAGTTGTCTCCCTTGGTATTAGTGCTGTATTTCTAAGCAGCCCTTTCGGTTCTTTCTTTGCATTTTAAATATCATAGTAACTTAAAGTATTGCTCCGTATCCTTTCAGTTCAGAGCAATGCTCCAAGGTTCGAGAAATTGGTAGCACCATCACCTTCAGATAACCAGGCTAACAAACCACCAGAGAGTCTGTTGGATGAATTCAACTCGCCAAAGCAGAGAATCAAAGCGCCATCTTTTCTTCAGCCCAAACGTAAACCACCTCTTGGAATTGGAAATCCCAATATATTCGTCAAGAGACCAGATTCAGTATGGGCTTATATGAATTTGGACAATCCGAAATCCACGCTTGAAATCCAAACAACAACAGCGCCACCTACGAGTAGGACATTTCAAGTATCGATTAACTCCCCTTCTATTGTTGCGCCACCTACCACGTTCGATCCCGACGCCATTCGTACACAGAGTCCTCCAAACAATGGCGGTATGGTTCCCGAAGTCCTTAATACCAATCCAGCGACTGGACGTTCCGACACGACAGTCACAACAGCATCTCCAATGAGCTTGGATCCGTTGGGGAACCTATTTTACAATTTGCTTCAGAATCATAATCAAACATTCAGTCCTAATAGTGACATACCCCATACACCCGCGGAAGTGACTACAAGTTCAGTGCCTCAGATGAAAAACAGTACAGCGACCCAGATCAAAAACAGTGCAGGAGATACACTCAACGCGGATTTTCATGATCCGTTTGCTCATCTTATGTCAAACTTATTGAAAATTCCAGGAGCTTTTACGAATCCCATTCCTGGATCCCCGAATTCTCCGGGGACAGATGCATTGAATCCTGATATTGCGTCAACTTCAATTGATCCTGTGGTGAACGGCACAGATCCGATGGCAAACCTATTTTCCCACTTACTAGATCATTCACCAACATCATTTGGAGTGACTAATTTTGAACCAGAGCCAGCATCGACGTCAAGTCCATTACCGGACAACATTTTACCTACCACAGCTTCACCGACAACTACTGACTCAAATGCTGCGTTCGGAAACCAACCAGCTGAGCAAGTTCTAACAAGTCCAACGACGTCAAGTCCATTACTTGGCATTATTTTGGCTTCACCAGCCCCTTCAGAAGCTACTCCAGTCAACCAGGACACCATCATAAACGCTTTCATCCCACCACCTTCACTTACCACCGCTACAACACCATCTCCAAACATTTACCATAACCATTTACCCAACTGGCAACAATCTGAACCAACGAGCACAAATACTGCTCCAGTTGGTCAAAAACACCAAAATAACGTAACAGATGCTTTCCAAGATCTACCTTTAACATCAACCAATTTCCAGAATCAAGTATCAAACTCAATCAAGCAATTTGGACCGACCATGGTGCATTCAACAAATAATGACGCGGGTCAGATGCATCCGAACTGGATACTGACGAATCCACCGTCGGTAATCCGCGCATCGGAACCAGTTCTACCGACCAAGGTACCAGGAGACGCAACTGTACCGCAAGCGTCTCAACCTAACGGGCTCCATCAACCAGCTGACGTTACTAATGCTTTGATCCAAATGTTCACTGCGTCAGTTCCCGAACCACCATCAGAGGATAACGAATTAAGTGACTTAGAGAAATTGTTAGCTCCTCCAACGATATTTTCTTTAGGTTCCAATGCTGGAACGCCATCTTCAATTGCCACCAATTGGGTTTCAGGAGTGGATTCTCAACTACCCAATCTTTCCCCCACGGTTCTACCTAAACCAGGAAACAAGTTTGGAACTAATGATCAGATGGAAATTGTCCCCACGTTTACGCCCACAACTGTCGGACCACCAGCAGTCGTACCAGAAATACCAGCAACCAACGTACATCCTCTGATATCAAACATAATTCGACAAAATGCTGGCACCAACCAACCGTCTTCTGTTCAACCAACTACTCCTTCGACAATGACTCCAGTTCGCCGTCCAAACCCTTTCTTCAATGCCAGACCCTTTCCAAATACCCAAGTTCGGTATCCACCGATGCAAACTACCACCCAGNCACCACAGCTTCGCCCAGTGTATTACTTCGACCCAGTTACTAGACAATATCGGNTATCTAATCAACGAGTCCCTCCCAAA